TTGTCCTCAACGAGTTAAGACAAAATGCAAAATGACAGCGAGCTCGCCGGAGCTGCAGGGCGTCCGCTGGATCTGCCCTTCAGAATCTGAGTTTTAGATAGAAACAGCATCAGAACTACAGTCACAGATCAGTCAGCCATTACACAATTCACAGACAACACTTGTGTAAAGATGCAAATGAAGCGTCAATAATTAATCTCACTCACAGCTGATGTTTCTGTGTTTCCCCCTCCAGCGAGAGGAAGAGATCCGGAAGGAGGAGGAGAAGAAGAAGGCGACGGAGGAGCGGCAGCGCTACGAGGAGGAGCGGATGGAGCTGGAGAGGAAAGAGCAGGAGAACCGAGAGAAGAGGTACCGAGAGAGGGAGCAGCAGATCGAGGAGCACAGGTGAGGAGCAGCTACACACACACTCACACACATCACTCTGAATAAATCTACTGAACGTGTGTGTGTGTGTGTGTGTGTGTGTGTGTGTGAACAGGAAGAAGCTTCAGGAGGAGGAAGAGGCCAGAGAGAGGTTGCAGAATCAGATCAAGCTTGTAAGTTTCTTTTGTTGATGTCTTCACCCCCCGACTCATTCTCTGTCAACAGAAGTCAAAGTGTCTCCAGAAGGAGGGGAGAGGAAGGAAGGAGGGGAGAGAGGAAGGAAGGAAGGAGGGGAGAGGAAGGACGGAAGGGAGAGGAAGGAAGGAGTGGAGTGGAGAGGAGGGGAGAGGAAGGAAGGAAGGGAGAGGAAGGAAGGACAGAGGGGAGAGGAAGGAAGGAAGGGAGAGGAAGGAAGGAGCGGAGAGGAGGGGAGAGGAAGGAAGGAGGGGAGAGAGATAGGAAGGAAGGAGGGGAGATAGAGAGGAAGGAAGGAAGGAAGAAGGGGAGAGGAAGGAAGGAAGGAGGGGAGAGGAGAGGAAGGAAGGAGGGGAGAGGAGAGGAAGGAAGGATGGGACAGAGAGAGGGAGGAATGAAGGAGGGGAGAGAGGAAGGAAGGAGAGGAGGGGAAAGGAAGGAAGAAGGGGAGAGGAGGGGAGAGAGAGAGGAAGGAGGGAGAGAGGAAGAGAGAGGAAGGAGGGAGAGAGAAGAAGGAGAGGAGGGAGAGGAAGGAGGAGAGAGGAGAGGAAGGAAGGAGGGGAGAGAGAGGAAGGAAGGAGGGGAGAGAGAGGAAGGAAGGAAGGAAGAGGGGAGAGGAAGGAAGGAATGAGGGTAAGAGGAAGTCTGCATGTTTTCACTCTGAGCAGTTTCCATGAATCACTCGTCAGTTGGCTTCAGTGTTTGCAGGAGAAACTCATCGTTATGATGTTCATCGCCCTGTTCAGAGCGCCGTTTGAAGCCGCCATATTTACCCCCCTGTGACGTCTCTCCTTCAGTCTGAATGTGGTGGAGGCGTGATGGGGGGGCGAAATGACCCCTCCCTGTCCTGTCTTAAGAGGCGTTACAGAGGAGAGACAGGATCAGCTGATCCAGTGCTGTGTGTGTGTGTGTGTGTGTGTGTGTGTGTGTGTGTGTGTGTGTGTGTGGAGCTCCAGCTGTGCCGTGCTTCCACACTGCTGCCCCCCCTGCAGGAACAGACGGGTGACCTCACTTTCATGTTTACAGTCTGTTATCACGTCGAGTCAGATCAGCTGGTTGTAAAGGAGGATCATCTGTGACCTTGAAGTCTGAAAACAAACAGAGATGAAGGAGACACAAAGTGACCTCGGCTGTCGTAGTCACGGCCGACCCTATCAGTACAGCTGGTACTGTCAGGGGGAGGAGCTTAATGTCTGTACATCTACAGAGAGACAGAAATCACAGTTTGGCTATAAGTCAGAGATAAGGTTAAGAAGTCTTCAGCCTGTAAAGTCTAAAAAATGTACCAGTTTAAAAAATCATCATGGAAGCACAAACGCTTCATGTCAGGCCGTGCTGTAGCTCCTGGTTCTCTGTCACACTGAGGATCAGACGTTGAGTTTCATTTCTGTAAAACAAACGAGTGTCTCTCAGTTTGAATGAAGTCTTCATCAGATTCATGTAAGAAGATCACATGACATCATGTACAGCTTTAGTACAGCTGTTTGAGGATCACTCTAAGTGTTTGATCAGCTGATCAGTTAGTAGAAACATGAACGGTCTCTGTCGCCCCCTGCTGGTTGACCTGCAGCACTGTTCTCATTCACACAAATGTCTTCTTCTTCCTCGTTTCTTCTTCGTCCTCGTGTTTTAAAGTCACTTTGATTTCTTTAACATGTTTGTTTTCCTCCCAGGCTGCAGAGGCGAGCAGCGACGACCTGAACCTGGACAAGAAGGAGTCCGAGGTGGAGGTGAGTGCAGCAGAACGCCTCCGTCTAAAAGAGAGGACGTCTTTAAACCCTTCCCCTAGCGTGCAGTTTTTACGTCTTTTAACGAGGGCTGTCAGACGATTCAAATGTTTAATCCTGATTAATCACATTTTTAATCGCATGTTTGAAACTGAAATGTTTCCCATTTCAAAATAAAAGTTGACAGGCTTTTATTTTGAAGGTTTGTTCTGTCTTAATCTGAGAGTAGAAAGCTGTTAACCACTTCAAGGTCGACCAGATTAATCATGATTCAAAAGAATTCATACATTCATTTCAGACCTACACTCAATTCTGTGTGTGTGTGTGTGTGTGTGTGTGTGTGTGTGTGTGTGTGTGTGTTTCCAGGAGGCGAAGGCCATCATCGCTCAGCGGTCAGGAAACCCTCGAGAGTTTTTCAAGCAGAAAGAGAGAGCGATGACCTTCAGCTGCGACACCTCGCCCGTCTCCATCCACAGGAGCGGTAAACTCTTCCTCACTCAGCCGACTCAAACGACCATAAATCAAACCGTCATAAGAGCTGCTATATCAGAGAGATCACTTCAGACAGAAGCGATAACATCGAGAGTCTGACCATGTTCAAACAAAGAATCTAATCAGCTGCAGTGTCCTCAAACAGAGTTTTCTCCATCAGAGATCAATGAATCTTAATTTGTATAATTCATAACGTGATGTGGAGATGCTTTACAGAGAGTAGGTTAAAGACCTAACTCATGGTAATGTGATGAGGGGGGGAGGGGATAATATACAGGAAGGATTTCTCCTTTGTATCCCTCTCGTTCCTGTTGTCCACACTTCCTCTCTGCTGAGGTCGGAGGTCGGAGCAGACCGTGCATGAAGGAGGACGGCGGTGGTTGAGGGGACGACACAGTCTGATGGTGGAGGCTGGGGGTCAGGGACGTCGGGTGGTAGTAGAGCCAGATCACCTTGCTGAAGGTTGGGGGAGCTCTGTCCCCTCGAGAGTCAGTCCTCTCAATCGGTCATGGGCGGCCAACAGGGGCCAACAGGGGTCAGTGAGCTTGGTCCCCCCTGTGGCCACCCCTCCTAAAAGAAGAGCCCCCCCCCTCATAACACATACACAGTATTCAACTCACAATCTAGTATTAAATACTGAAACACATATAAATCATGGTATTTTATGATGTGTGCTATTATATGGCATAATATATTTTTTAAAGCGATCATCTTTGCCTTTTTTTCACCTGGGTTCAATGTTCCCCTCTGGCTCCGGTTTGGCCCCCTCAGTTAAAGTGGTCTAGAACCGCCACTGCAATCGGTTATTTGTAGAGTCTTAAACTAAACGACGATCCGGAGGAGAGGTGTCACGTCTGTGGAGTCGCAGGATGTCGTCTGGCAAACAATGAAGTCGTTTAAATGTAGATGTAAAGAAAAGCTGTTAAAGCTCTATCCATCATTCTTTTACTTTAACCTTCATTTAAAGTCATGTAAGACAATCTAATTTCTTCTTCATGTGTTTCTCTAAACAAAGAAGTGAATGAGGGTTTTCTTTCCTGTGATTGGTCCCCTGAAAACTTGACCTCACCTGTTCCAAGTTAAAGAAAAGACGACGAACACCTGAGGACCAAAAACAACCGACTCAGCATTTCATTTCTGCTTAACTGCATGCTGTCTCTGATCTGTTTTAACTAACTCTCTCTCTCTCTCTCTTTCTCTCTTTCTCTCTCTCTCTCTTCTGACCTCACATGTTCTCCATCCTCATTCCAAACTATCTCACTCACTTCTTGATTTACTCGCCCATCCCTCGACTCTCTGTCATCCTTATTTCTCTTCTTCTTTCTCCTCCTCTTCTTCACGGGACTCTCTGCCTTTCCCACAATCCTTTCTGCTTCTCTCTTCTTCTTCTTCTTCTTCTGGGTTCTTAACTTCTCGGGTTTTGACTCTGACCTCTCCTGTCTTCCTCCTACCCCCCCCCCTTTCTTTTTCTTGCTTTTTGTCCGTCTTGTCTTCCCGTCTCGTCCGTCTTCCTCATGTCTCTCTGTCCTGGTGCGTCGCCTCGTCTCATGTTAAACGTTTGTGTGTGTGTGATTCTTTGTGTGTGGCTCTGTATTGCCCCCCCACCCCCCCTCGGACCGCCAGGCCGTTTGGACAGCCCGTTCTTGAGGCAGCAGCACAGTCCCAGCAGCCCAAGTCAGACTCCCCCAACCCGGGGCACGTCACCCCTCCGCACCCAGCCACACGCACGGACGCAGCCCGCCGCTGCAGCCGGTAGGTACAGCACATAACCGATAAACAGCAGAAGAAGAAGATGGAAGGACACCAGCAGCTTGGACAGCATCGAACCCACCTCCCCCCCCCACTCACAAATAGGAAACAGAAAATGAATGACATGAGAGTGAAACAGCATGTGAACTGAAAATGATTTGCACTTTAACAAGTACAGCTAAAAGGGCTTAGCACGGCTAACCCACAATAAAGAGGAGAAAATGATCCTTCAAATAACTCAGACGATTGTTTTACATATTTTTAATCTAACTGGTCAAACCGAATGAAATACTTGCATGAAAAAACCCCAAAAGTCTCTAATTTTATGAACGCTACAGACAGGAAGTAGAACTGCTACGAACAACACTTAAGCTAACGCTGCTGACAACCAACTTAAAGGAGCTGCTCAGGAGGAAACCTTTACCGACCTCCTCGGGTGACCAGAGCAGGTCACCAATGATTTTCAGACGGTGCAGTTTAGCTAAACTACAGCTAACTAAGTAACACTAGCGTAACTGGCCGACCAAGGCGGGATCAATGCTACAAAGCTAAGATACAGCTAGCGGACTAACATTGGCTTGGTTGGGATCAAAGACAAACCGCTAACTAGCTAAAGTACTCAAATATTTCCCTGGGGATTTCTGGTAGGTGAATTAAAAGCTTGTTATTTACAAATAGTTTACTTTATTAAGTTACCAAGCAACCAACGCCAGATCCATGCAGTGTAGCTTAATCACAGCTAGCTAGCTAACAATTAGCTCGCTGTAAAGACAAAATATCAAATGGCAAAAGTAACCAAACACTTTCTAGTCTTGATAAAAACCCTTTGTGTCATCCAGTCTCTCTGGGCTCGGGAAAATGGCAGATACATTTGCTAGCCTGTTACCTCATCCACCAAACAGAGCCAGACAATGCCAAGTAGCTAAGTTACAGCTAGCTTGCTGACATTAGGTTGAATGCAAACAAACTTCTAACTAGCTAAAGTAGACTAATACTTTCTTAAGTGGATATAATCAGTTATTTCACTCACTGGGGTAAAAATGTGCCTACCTTATCAGCTAACCAAGCCAGCAGGGCCAGATCCATGCAGCATAACTAAGTTATAGCTAGCTGGCTAACCTTGGCTTGCTCACTTTTCAACAACCTTGTTTAGCAGTAAAATTAGGGTTCAACTCAAAATGACCGGCCTTCTTCTTTGTTAGATGAATCGCCCTTCCACCTCGTTCCATGACACTTGGGGCATGCAGCTTTCTTTAAAATCTCTTTGGAGGATGTAATCGCTCTCAGACGTTATCAGAACAAAACTGTTTTAAATGTTTTCAGTCCACATGCATTTTCATCTTCTCCCCATCAGAACTTCATTTTCATAAACCACTCCACCTTGTAGGCTACATGAAGCACTCTCTCACACCCTACACATCTGTGCACTGACCCTTTTAGTCACCTCACCACTCCCTGCAGAATCCCACAAATACTAAAAGACAACCTTCATCTCCCCAGACTTCAGAAATGTTAAAAGGCAGATTTTAGTATTTAAGGCAGAGTTAGTGGAAGGGGTGTGGCTCCACCTGCCAGATCCCATCTGCACATCTATCGGCTCCAAACGTCATTCAGAGTAGAATATGTCAGCAGCTGTTGCTGGCTTATTTTGGCTTCGATTTTGACTGAGACAGGATAGATGGAGGCATTCATAGTTATATATTTTAATTATTACACAGTAACCATCACACCCGTCTGAAGGCTCACCTACCTAACCGCTTTGGCACCTTCCAAGCGTCTCCACTAACACGCATTAGTTAGCATTCCATTCACCTCCAGTAAGCTGTAAAAACCTCCTTTATGGCTGTGGACCATAAAGCTGTTTGTCGGTTTGTGTGGTAGATGTTGAGTTTGTTGTCCCCTCAGTCTTCATCCTGTAGATGTCGTCCAGTCAGCTGCTGATGTCTCATTATTTTTATAAATGTTTCTCGTTATTGTCTGATTTAATGCTTTAAATTTACACCACAGTAATGTCTCTCAGGGGTAATGAGCTGTTACTCAAACTTCAGAATCTCACTGGTTTTTCTATCACCTTCTTCCTTTTCTGATCCTGAACCTCATGGCTCTGATCCGGGACGGCTTCACCTGTTTGCACACACACACACACACACTGAAACACACACACACACACACTCCTCCTGCTGCTTTTAACCCTCACCAACTGACTAACCTGTGAGTGTTTCTGCATCAATATGACGCCGTAAAGCCGCCCGTCAGTCGCCATCTTTGTTTGTGGGCCGTTGACTAAATATGGATCTTTGTCTTTTGAACTTTGTGGAGTTGATCAAGCTGCAATTCTGTAGAAGGATCATAACTGTGATTTTGTGTATTTGAATCCAGGAACTACAAGAATCAGACACCTCAGACCAATTTCCAGAGCACACTGTTTATTTTGGGATTGAAACGCCCTCAGCCAATCAAATTTTTATACCTTGGTCCATTTTCTTACATACTTCATGGGTCTGATTAGAAGACAAAGTTACAGATTGCTACAGTACATTTCTTCAAAACAGGATGACATGGCAGCTGAACCCATGTTCTTCTTTGTGGCCCTGAAAGTGTCTCATAGCATGAAGGATCGTAACAGAGGAACTGTCTGTTCAAAAGTGAAATGCTTTTGGTGACGCTGGTTTAGCTAGGTAGGTAGAGCAGGTGCCTCTTTGACCATTCCTGGTCCTGGCCTTATTTCACGGTGGTAATCCCCCGCTCTCTCTCTCCTGTCTTTCTACAGCTGAATCAGATCAAGGCTCAAAATGCAGAGCTTTGTTAACGCTGCTGTAAAAGACTTGCTACATAAAAGAGCTACTCAGGACAACAACCTGAGCCATCAGTTTGAATTCACATACCTGGATTAGGGGGGCAGTCGGCCAAACGTTTAGACTAAAGAAAGCTGCTGGAGCAATTCTAAAGCTTTGTCTGTTTGTAGACCCCAACATGTGTAAGAAACAAAAGGATTTCAGTTAAAAGACTCAAAGGTCCACTAAGGCTGTTCTTTCTGCGCTTGCAAACCAGTTCAGTCTGTGCTCAGCTTTTTCAACAACAACGTAAGGGAACAACTTCCAGGTGTAGAGATGCTGCTGATGCCAGGACAGCAAAAAGTTCGGCCACTGGACACAGTCCCTAAAACTACCAGAATCCCCCTTGAACTGAAGTGTTCTCATCAAAACAGATGAAGTTCTAAACAATGTAAACGGGCTATTTTTCTTACACTAGCATTTTTGCTGTTTCCCAGCAGTTCCCTAAATGTCAGCTTCCACTAAAGGTACGGTAGAAAACGAGCTGTTTCAGGGTGAATAAACAGTCCAGAAATGCGTGATGCTTTGGGAAATGGTCGTTAGTTCTGTAGTTCCTGGGCTGAGCTGTGAAGACCACCCTTATGATCTGCTGTGTTTAATACTGCATGTCTGTAGGTGTTGTAGTGGCAGATATGATGCTGGGTGGGCAAAGAGGAACCACTTCATCCAGACTGTTGGATTCTACCTTCTCCAAACATTTTCTACACTGGCGTTCATCATCAATAATGATTTTACCAAACAGTCCAACAGCTTTAACAAGTGGTTGGATTTGGAGGTTTTTGACCACCAGCTGAACCCACCGGTGTAGGACAATGTTAGGCTGGATGTGATTTGTCAGTTTAACAGGGCCAGACATCTCAGTCAGCCTTTTGTTTCCACTGACTCTGTTGTTCTTTCATCTGTGGTTTATTATGTTTGTGTCCTCTGGGAAATCCTGTTCTGGTCTCTGAACAGGACGTCTGACTTCAACAAGCATGACATCATCAAAACATCCGAGTAAAAAGTGACATTTCATTCTGGAAACGCTTCTCTGACTGTGACTGACACTGTGTTTGTCATAATGAGCTGTATTCTCACCCTGTGACTCACCCATGATGTGTCAGGATACATCCCATAGCATAATGATGAATGTCTAAAGCTGGCTGCTTCATGACTTACAGGATTATTTTGACTGTCTTGGTGTTTGTGACCCTGTCCTTGAAGGAATGTGCTACTGCCCTGTCCGTCTCACAATACTTTACATCGATGACATGCCATGTTTGTGTCACCAAATCAATTTGAAAGTCACAAGGCGACTAAATGTCTCGCTCTGTGATTCAATGGAGGGTTGCCAAATCTCATGACGTTGGAGTGCTTAGTTCACTGTCAGGCAAACTCAGCATCAAGAAAACCACCTGGCAGTTTCCGCTCAGAGTTTATTTTTCGACAGCGCTCACTGTAATCCAAATCTAACTGGACAGAGCAGATCAACTCGGGCAGGAAGTCAGACAAGGGAATACATAGAGTGTCCAGTTAATTTCAAAATAAAACACAATGTACAGACTCCTGATCTAATGTCCCATCACTTAATCAACATAACGTCAAAACAGGAAACAAATGTACAACAAATTAATCTCGGACAGATAAAGATACGTGTTATTCTCGTTAGTCCCGTGTGATCTTGTAGTTCTCTTGTGATCTTCTGAGCTCGTGAGTCTAGTTGCTCATGGTTATGCTTCGGAAACGTTTTGTGATCTGCCAGTAAGAGTTGAGAGCCAAGTAAGCAGCTGGATGTCTTTATGTATCAGGTCAAGAGTCAACATGCTAACACTTGTTAATTCATTATCTTTGAGAGACTTCATGGCAGACAATCCAAAATGTCTCATTGTATTTGACTTAAGACTACAAATGTGGACCTCATGGTGGCGCTAGAAGGAAAATTCAGATGATCACCAAAGTCGTTGAGGTTAATCACCTGGGAACAAAAAATGGGCGTACCAAAAATTGTGCCAATCCATCAAATGGTTGTCGAGATATTTCAGTCAAGACCAAAGTCAACTGATCTCCAGACTGACTGGAAATAAAGCTGTGGAGTCCAGATCCAGTCCCTTTAAGAACAGGACTACATTACCCTCATTCTTCCATTGTCTAACACCAGCATTGATCTTCAACATTTCAGGGTGCAGTGTTGCTCTGTTTGCTTGTCATGTGAAGGCAGAAGTGATGTGGTTGATGTGTTTTGTTGTACATGTTGAAGCAACACAGGATGTTACCATGGAGATCAAAAAATCAGGAAGGATTCTGGCTTTGGAGATTCCTTTGAACACCATTTGATTCAGGAAAAAGAAAATCCTAGTTTGAATTAAAGTAGACTTTGAAATGGATTGGCATCCATTAAAATACTCAAAGAAATAAAAACACATCTGTGAGACTTCAACACATTTCCTATTCGAGTGTCAGGCTGTTGGACCTCCAGGCTTTGGGATGAAGACTTTCTTCTTTTAAATATTGTTGTGCAATTCTGTTCCTCTAGGGGGCGATGACGACGAAGCGAGCACAGACCGAAACATGGCTGCTGTGTCGCCCATACCCAAAATAGTCACCACGCCAATCAAAGAAGACTTCCGCAGAGACGAGGACGACTGCAGAGATGAGTGGGGTAAGAGTGTAAACGACTTCTTTAGCCGCGTGGAGCGGCTGTGGCTCAGTGGTGGAGTCGGTTGTCTCTTAAAGGATTTATGCGATTTTTTGATCCAGCAGATGTCACCCTTGAGCACCAACATGAAACCAAAACAACTCACGCTGCATTGTTGTGTTAGCATGCTAATGCTAGCGATCTTCATTATGCTCGTATCTTCACACTGCATGTAAATTTACTCGGAAAACTGTGAAAACATCACAGACAGTGGGACTCGGGTGTTACACCCATTGTAGACAGTCATGACTCACAGAGTTATTTTCAGAGGATAAACTTGATTTCTATTATATTTAAGTGTGAAAAATCACATATTAAGGCTTTAAAGGGAACCGTGGCAGTTCGATCCCCACATGTTGGAGTGTCCATTATTACAAAGAAATATCTGATTGAAGGCAAACCTGCGAGCTAGTGTAACAGATGTAAGTGAGGCATAGAGGGAGGCGACACGCGGTCTGTTTCCAGACGATGAATTCAGTCCTGCAGAAGACGATGAAACACCTTAAATTGTCTTCTGGTCTTCTGATTCTGCACCTCTGCTCCTAAACACGCAAAATAAAGTTTACACTTGGAAATATCTGCAAGGCCACAGGGTGATGTCCAAAACACTACGTTAAAACAGCGTCTGAAGTAATTCTCTCCAAACATCGGATGAACATATGAATATCATCTGCAAATAAAATACACCAAAGGTTCCACCTGGAGTAGTTTATTTATTACCGTAAATATGAACAAAGGCCCGTAAATCATTGTATTATTAATCTGTTTTCTTCCCCCGGTCCTCTCCTCAGATTCGGTGCCAAAGCAGGATCAGAAACCACCTGTCCAGGAGTCCACGCCCACCAAACCTGTTCAGAGTGTCGCCCCACAGTCCCGGGACTCGTCCAACTTCTCCGTGTGGGAGTCCGGGACAGACAGCCTGGTCAACCTGTGGGACAGCAGCTCCGGCCCTCCCCCCAACACCTCCAATCTGGTGGACCTGATGGGTGACGTCCTGCCCAGCAGCGCCGCCGCTAGCGGCCGGCCTCAGCCCCTCCTCAGCTTTGACGAGATGATGGACGGGACCTTATGCTCAGGCACCGGCGCCGAGGACGAACCCACCAGTCTGGTGGACGTGACCGCCTCTGACCAGATGACCCCCAGCTACCAGCATGCACTGCAGCACGCGTCTGGGGATGGGCAGGAACTGGAGGACGTAAAGCGGCTAATGACCAACGGTGAGGCGCTGCTGAAAGAGGGGACTCAGGTAAGAACAGTCACTGCTGCTCTCAGTATCTGTCTTTAGTCTTTTCTTCTGGTGACCGTCTTCTTTCTGTCTGCTCTGACAGGCAAGTGAGGGCTATTTCAGCCAATCACAGGAGGATGAATTTGGCCAATCAGAGGAGTCCTCGGCTAAACCTGCACCTGTCTTTTATAACAAGCCACCAGGTGAGATATCCGTTTCCTTCCTGTTCACGCTGACTAGCAGCTATAAAGATGTTGACTCGCCTTAGCTGAAATACTTTTATTACGAAATCTGCAACAACAACATCAACAACAACAATAATAACATCAACAACATCAACAATAATAACAACAACAATAATAATAACAACATCAACAACAACAATAATAACATCCACGTCAACATCAACAACAATAACATCAACAATACCAACATCAACAACATCAACAACAATAATTACATCCACGTCAACATCAACAACAATAACATCAACAACACCAACATCAACAACATCAACAACAATAATTACATCAACAACAATAATAATAATAATAATAACAATAATAACAACATCATCAACAACAATAATAATAACAACAACAATAATAACATCCACGTCAACATCAACAACAAGAACATCAACAACAATAATAACAATGACAACAACAATAATAACATCAACAACATCATCAACAATATCAACAACAGTAATAACAACAACAATAATAATAACATCAACAATAATAACAACAACAATAATAACAACAACAATAATAATAATAACAATAATAACATCAACAACAATAATAACAACAGTAATAACAACAATAATAACAACAATAATAACATCAACAACAATAATAATAACAACAACAATAATAATAATAACAATAATAACATCAACAACAATAATAACAACAGTAATAACAACAATAATAACAACAATAATAACATCAACAACAATAATAATAACAACAATAATAATAATAAGATCAACAATAATAATAATAACAACAGTAATAATAACATCAACAACAATAATAACAACAATAACATCAACACTCTCTAATGTGAATAACCTGACGTGTGTGTGTGTGTGTGTGTGTGTGTGTGTTTAGAGATTGACATCACGTGCTGGGACACGGACCCCGTTGACGACGATGACGACTAACCAACCAATCAGCAACACCGACCACCGGACCAAGAGGAAGTAGGAAGTGCGCTTCAAGAAGAAACAG